AGGGTGCCAGCCACATACATTGGAGCTGGCGGGTTCAAGCCCAGCCTGGGCCTGCCAAACAGTGACAACTACAACCAAAAAGTAGCCAGACATTATGGTGGGCACCTGTGGTCCCAGCTACTTGGGAGGCTGAAGCAAGAGAATCGCCTAAGCACAAGAGCTGGAGGTTGCTGTGAGCTGGGACACTACAGCACTCTACTGAGGGCAACAAAATAAAACTCTGTTGCTAAAATAATAATAATAACAATAATAGAAGTAAATAATTTGTTGTGTTTTTCTCCCCTTCCTATGAAAGATGTTTAGAGTTACTGTTGAAGTAGATAGTGATGAAAAAAACAGAAGATACCCATTGAAAAAAAATACATGTTTATCTTCTTTAATCATTGAAAGATCTATGAATTAGGTATTATTATCATGCCCACAGACACAGAACTTGGAAGCAAGAGATACCTCAGTTGAAGATGATGATGTTTATATTTTGAGTCCTTTAAAGTTGAGGAGAAATAGGCATATGACATTAATTATGAACTTTATAGTTATCATTCTTCCACACAAAATCAGTATTTTCCTTTTAATAAATCAATGAGCCATTCCCCAAATCCCACAAGGCCCTGATCCCATCTGCCTCCCGTGGTCACGTTCTGGGGCATGTGGAATCCAGGAAGAGAACATCTGGTAGGCGTGCCAGGCCCTGTGCTGGGTGGTTTCACAGCACCATTTTGGTTAATTCTCAGGTTCATTCATTCCCAGTAACAACATCCAGGAGGTAAGAACTGAAAGGTCGGTGGGGGTGCCTGACGCAGGGAGACCAGAGAGTAGGAGAGCTTCAGGCCAGGTTTAAAGAAAGTGACGGAGACACCCCTGGCAGAGCCAAATGGCGACTGCCCCCCCTTCCCAGCACAGTTAGAGTCCTCCTCCATATGGGGCGTCAGCGGGTGGAGAGATTCTTCTGGTGGGCTGAGCTTCTTGTGATGTGAATTTGGGGTGGGGGCCTGCTGAGCCCTTTGTGGTCTTTGTTCTGGGAGGGGAAGAAGATGAGGCAGGGAAAAGGTTTACTGTGTGGCTTTGTGTTCGCCCCACCAACAGGTGCTATGATGATTATCTCTTACAGGAAGGAAAACCAAAGCTCAGGGACGGTAGGGAATTTATTTGGCTCCAGTGCTGTGGCCAGTAGGGCTGAAACTGGGACTCCGGGGAAAGCTTTCTGCCAGTTTCAGCTGCTGGTCATTTCCTCTTTCGCTCAGGCTCCTGTTGACTAAAGGAAAAGAAAGATGAAGCTTTTAAAGAATTCAAGTCAGTTTTATGCACAAGGCTCACTGAGATCTACAGCCTGAGGACAGCATTTCACTGCTTACACATGGGTGGGGGAGATTCAGGACCTGCAAAATCATGGCAAAGTTTGGGTACAAGAGCACAACTGGCTGTCAATGACAGAGGCATAATCACTAAACCCATATATATATGTATATATATATTATTTCCTATTAATATGAGGGTACAAACAATTAGGTTATACTGTCGGTGTTTGTTAGGTAAAATCCCTGTTGTAGCTGTGCCCCTCACCCAGGGGGTGTGCGATGGACCCTGACATCGTGCCTCTTAGGTGGGAGCACACCCATCCCCCTTCCTCCTCCCTCCTCCCCACTAAACCCCCACATTAAATATAGCAGAACCTCTGTACGTTGACCACCCAAGGGACTGTAACAAGCTGGTCAACACACAGAGGAGGTCACCATAAGGAACTAAGCTTACTGTACTGAGAAGTACATGTGGTACGTGTCTGGTCTGTGAAAACCAGGTCAACATAAGGAGGTGGTCAAGGTAGGGAGGGGGCCAACTATGGAGGTTCTGCTGTATAGTTTAAGTCTTTCTTTTTTTGAGACAGAGTCTCACTATGTTGCCCTGGTTAGAGTGACATGGCGTTACATCTAACAGCAACCTCAAACTCTTAGGCTTAAGCAATTCTCTTCTCTCAGCCTCCCAAGTAGCTGGGACTACAGGCGCCCAC